GTCTATTTTCATTATATTCTTGGATTAAAAGATGTATTAATCCATCCAAAGCCATTTTAAAGTGTATGTTAATCGTTAGCGGGTACTAGGTAGGTACGCCTTAAAAGTATGTTTTTAACGCCCCCTTTTAACCTATTTATGTTTATTTTTTTTTAACTTATTATGTGTTACGGAATAGGAAATATTATTATATTTGAACTACTCTTGACAGTACATGTTAAAATGTATGCTTCGAAACGCTACAGAATAACTTTACAATATTAACGTAGGTTATTTTTTTTAACGTCCGTTAAAATTTAACATATTCGTTATCGAATTACCACTATTGACTGTCAAGATTCCTGATGGAAATTTTAGATGGTAGTTCTAGCCAGACAACGTTCAGGTCTTTGTGAATTTATTTAAATACTCATTTTAAGATAATTCTGAACTTTCGGATTTCGATTTGCGATCAACGAAAAATTCACAATTTTCATAATAATTAATACCTTCTAGAGATTATGTGCTGCGACAATTAATCTTCTATGATTTTTTGCTGTATTGTCAAATCATCTGCAAAATATCTTGGAAGTAAAGAAATTTATTATCAGTCCTTTGAAACATACAAAATATCCTTAGTCCATTAAATTGGCGACAAAAATCAACTCATTAATAATTTGGTGCCTTGCAACATTATTCCTGTTAAATTATTAATTTTAAGCCAATTTTGGATATAAATGGATAATATTTAAATATATTTAAAGATGCTGTAAAATGTATTACTGCCATAAAGTGGTATTAGAACACCACTACACCCAGGTCAACATGCATAAACCTTAGGAAGGTCTACTGATTCATCCCGTCACCTACTTAGTTGCTGGCCGGATAGAAGATCCCTTTCCTAACATAATACACTCACTATCCTACAGGAATGTTCCACATATTGTTAAACATAAGTGTAGAAGATGTGAATATAAGAGGCTTAACTGCGAAGAGATGTCCACGGGGAAGGGTACTTTTACCTCTACTGTGAAGCATGGTTTTCAATACTCTCATTAGTCGCCTCAATAATAACAATCTCTATACAATACCACATGCAGATGACCTGGTTATTCTGCATACAGGGAATTTTGAGAACATACTATGCGAAAGAAGGTAAGTAGCTCTCAAAATTATAGAAGTGATGCAAAGACGCAAGCCACAAGAAAAATATTTAAAATGTAACTAAAACTTTCAGAGCTCTTAAACACAAAACCAAACAATAATGGTGAAGTACTAGGTCTCACCTTTGGCAACAAGTTAACATGAAACACACATCTTGAAGACAGAGTCAAAGAAGCAAAACTTAGTTAACAATGTCGCCAGACCGCGGGGTTCCCTGAGTCATCACATAGACTTAAACGGCCATCTTAAGTCCTGTATTTACATACGGTGCAGTTGTAAGACATGGAAGTATCACTCCTCTTGATATTTACATCAAGGAGGTGGCTCTGATAACAATAACACGACTCTGCATGGTTGGAATAGAACCTGATGTAGGACTTGGCGAGGCGAGACGTCGCTTTTGGAGGGAGGTGCTCGATACGTTTCCACTGCTTCAAGATGGGGCTGTCAGAATTCTCACTCTGCAGGGGTGCGAACAAGAAGATGAGACCATCGAGCCTTTCCTCTACGATTTCCTTTCATTTATTATAAGATTTGTGTTCGGCGAATTTTGACTAACACCAACCGATATTAAAAAGGACCTCCCGGCGACGTTGTCAAATGGGTACGCTGTTTGACGAGCTAAGAGGATAAACAATAGGCCCAGAGATTTAGAAAATATTGAATCTTTTTATAAAAGGGTGTGACTAGTAACAATTTATTTGGCTTACTGTGGGTCATCAAGGAAGAGGGATTACATTATGCCCCAGGCGGTCAATCAAGATGGATCTCTACAATTTAAGCAATATTACTTTACGTTTGTTTATAGTAGAAAATGTTTTATGCAAAAACTGCAGTTAACAACATTTTATACAATTTATCTCATTGGTTTACTTCGCTACGATGATAAACACAAAAAATAGATGGTGCCAAAGTTCGTAAAAATTCATTTTTTTTTTCAAGTTTTGGAGCCAAACAAATTTATGTTTATTTATAAGTCACGACCAAGCATCGTTGTCTAATCGTCAGAATGGTGGAGGAATATGGAAAATTTCAAAAATTAAAAGTTATATTTTTTGGCTATATTACCAGGAACAATTAATTTTAAATGTATATAACTAATGAAAAATATTGAATTCCTTTGTGCATAATTAACATCTGCACACTGTAAACACTGTAAACATATTGCCTGCGTATATTGCAGATGATTTAAACACCGTCCTCACTAAAACTGGTCCAAAATTAGCACAGAAAATATCTCAAACTAATTCTATTCGACCAAGATAATCATTGAAAGGCCAATATACCAAGACCAATACGCCTATAGTGCAGGGAAATCAACTGAAACAGCTCTCCATCAACTAATAAAAAGGGTGGAGAACACACTGGAAAACAAGGAGGTAATGCTGGGATCATTCTTGGATATCGAGGGTGTATTTGACAATACCTCCGTTGAATCGATCATTAGATCTCTCAAACACAGAGGAATCGAGGACACATGCGTGTCCTGGATCGACTCTATGTTAAGGGAGAGAACTATACACACAACCCTTATGGGAGAGACAACAGCGGCACGGGTAGCGAGAGGATGTCCACAGGGTGGAGTGCTGTCTCCACTCCTGTGGAACCTTGTAGTGGACGGGCTGCTTAGGGCTCTCAAAGATAAGGGACATAGAACCCTGGGATATGCCGATGATCTAGTGATCATGGCACAGGGAAAATACAACACTATAGTAAGAGATCGAATGCAAGAGGCTCTAAATATAGTAACAAAATGGACAGAGGCGGAAGGACTAAACATTAGCCAAAACAAATCTGACATAATTGCATTCACCCGCAGGAGGAAATTGGAGGGACTAGGGCCTCTAAACCTAAGAGGTGCAAGCATCCAGCTTAAGGGGGAGGTAAAATATCTCGGGGTTATGATTGACTCGAGACTTACCTGGAACCAGCATCTAGAAAGAACCACAAGTAGAGCGGAAACCTCATTAATGATGGCAAGGCGATCCTTTGGAAAAAAATGAGGGTTAAAACCAGACATGGTATATTGGATTTATAACATGGTGGTGAGACCCATAATAACATACGCAGCTTTGGTGTGGTGGCCAAAGACACAGCAAAGGAAAGCAATAACGAGGCTTAGCAAGGTACAAAGACTTGCCTGCCTCGGAATAACGGGGGCAATGAAAGCAACCCCCACTGCTGCAATGGAAGCACTAATAGGACTCCCACCTCTTCACTATGTGATACAAGGGGAGGCAAGATTAGGTGCTTACATATTAGGGACCACACTGGGAAATCTTGACATCAGGCCAGGTCACATGAGTATCTCAAGGTTAGTGACAAGAGACGTTCTAGACATGAGATCAGACCACTTAACCAAGAGGTACTCTTTTAATACTCCCTTTGAGGTTTTAATACAGGAAAGAGCAGAGATCACCATAAGGGAGCCCAATGCTCAACGACAGGAACAAATCTGGTATACAGACGGGTCTAAGACTGCGGAAGGCACTGGGGCAGGAGTATTCTCAAAAAACCCTGATACTAACTATAGCTATGCTATAGGAATACATTCCTCGGTATTTCAGGCCGAGGTATACGCAATTTTGCAATGTGCAAAAACGAACAATGAAAGAGCTGTCGAAAATCAGCATATTTAAATAATGTCAGACAGCCAAGCGGCACTTAAAGCCATATCGAGTCAGAAAGTTACGTCGAGGCTGGTATGGGAATGCATCGAAGAACTAAGAACACTGGCAGACCGAAATAGAGTAAAACTATTTTGGGTGCCAGGTCACAAAGGGATCGAAGGCAACGAAAAGGCTGACGAACTTGCAAAAAGAGGGTCAGAAGAAACACCGGAACCAGACACAAACCCAGGAGTACCAAAAAGTACAGTCCGGGGTTTTATAAATGACTGGATTCGGGAACAACATATCAACTATTGGGGAAGCACCCCAAAACAGGCACATGGAAAAGCCTTCATAGGCAGATCATGTCCCAAAAGAACTGTAGAACTACTTTTAATGAATAGGAACCAGTTGAAAGTGATAACAGGGTTCATGACTGGGCACGCCCCAGTAAAGGGACACTTGAACAAAATTGGCATGTACAATGGGGAACTCATGTGCCGACTATGTCACAAGAAACCAGAAATGGCCAAACACATACTGTGCGAATGCGAAGCTCTAGATCGCAAAAGACAGGCCCTTTTTGGACAACCCCAGGTTGATCCAACAACGTATAGAACCCACTCACCCAAGGATCTGTACAAACTTGTACAAGGTACAAAGGTGATAGAGTGGATGCTATGAACTAGCATAGGGTAAAACACAATAAACCAATAGGCTTCAGTGTTATTCGGAGACACATAGTCAGACGAGCCCAGGAGAGAAGAAAACAAAAAAAAAAGATAATCATTTAGGTAATAAAACTATATTTAAGTTAGAAACCGCAATAGTATCCCATTATCATCAAGCTTTTATTTAAAATACTATATTAATGAAAGTACAACGACTATTTAATTTTTTTTATATAGAAATAATCAGATTAATCATGCATGTTTTTTATAACTATAACTAGCAAAGCACAAAAATATAGACAAAATTACAAAAACAATACATAATCAACTAGTTTTATAATCTAAATCAATGAAATTTTTGAAATTACTCTTTTCAATACCAATTACTATAACATTTTTTATCTATAAATATAAGTTTCAAAAGGTGGATGTCGTGTTTGGCCTGTCATTAAAGCAAACGAAGTCTACTAAAATTAAATCATATTCAAAGTTTTTTAAATATACTAAGACAAATTGCCGGTTTGACGTAATAAAGTTAGGTATGATGCAAATGAATGCCAAAAAAATATTAACTTACCAACTATACTATTATTGCTAGCATTCAGATGTCTCAGCTTAGGAATTTTGAAAATACAATTCGGCAATTCTATGAAGGTATTATATGAAATATCCAACCTTTCCAATGAACCCAAATCCACACACTCATCTGGTAATTTTGACATTTGATTGTGAGATAAATTTAGATCTGTAATAAGGTTAAATTTGGCAGCGAATTTGGGAGGTATTTTTGTTATGACATTATCACTTAGATCACAGGTTTTGAGTTCGGTGTGTCTCATCAGATGGTACACGGCATCAGGTACTTGCATTAGCTGGCAATTCGATAAATCTAAAAAAAAAAAAATACGTAATTAGTAATAATATCATTTTTTTTTCGTTTTATGGTCTAGGTGTATATATCTAATACGTCAATCTCAGTTTGTGTTTGTCTTCTTATTCATGTGTGTTCTGTGTAGGCTTTGTTACTGTTTCCCAGCGCCACTTCAGGAACAGCACTGTTAATTAGAACCCAACAGTGAATGGTCGAGTGGGGAATCCTACCTATGCATTAGAATTAATATTTATTTTTTTTAATTAAATAAAAATTCCTGCCACTGGTGAGAGTCGATCCTGAGACCTTTCGATCTAAAAGTCATGACTCTAACCACTAAGTCAACCCACCCTCAATAATATAATATCAAAAAAGCATTAGTAATCAGATGAGATATTATTTTTTAAGTTATGAAAAATTACAATGATGCAAAAACATTTCTATTTTGGAAAAAAAATTCTGGGCCTCGATTCTCGACTTAACGGAAAACATTTTCATTGATAATTCCACTGCTTATTTTCCAGTGGTATTATAAAACGGTATTCTCCACTAGGTTGTAATTCCTATGGGAATTTTGATTATTCGTATATCCAATGTATGTCTGGTATTAAATATGAAAATATTGGAAAGTGGCCAAAACTAATCAAGATATTTCAATGCATTCAAGTTTTTGTGTTGAGATCATTGATCATGTAAATGGTAATAAATAATGCAAGGGTGGCTCCAAGACGGGGGGGAGCATGGCCCCAATAGGAGCCGCCCTTAAAATAATGTATGTGGAAAATGTATATATTTAGTTTATCCTCTAAACATTTATGGAGGTGCTGCAATAGGTTGTATAAAATAAGCGGAAAAAGCCTATAATAACTAGATAGATTTTTTTCTGTGTATAAATTTTAATGAACGTTTTTGCAACCAGGTGAAAAAATGATAAGAATTGCATCGATGTTAATATTTAAGGGAACCCTAAAAATGTTGAACTTAAAATTTGGTGCTCCTAAAACACAATAATTTCGAATAATAATAATAATAATAATAAACGTAATAAACGTAAATTACGTAACATTTCTTGCTACATAAATCTATTATACTTATGTGCTAAACTGATGTAACTAATTAAATTGATGAGAAAGCTACGTGCATATGTTTAATGGGGAACAAATATTTCTTTCCTTGTTTTAATATGCAATAACAAGTGAAGCAGTCAAATCTTTTGTAATGATTGTTGTGTAGAGATTAATTTTAAATTCAAAAATCGTTCTCGATTTCAAAGCCAGATTAATAAATCTACATTTGCAGATTCAATAGTTATTTTTATATAATTTTAATAACAAATGAAAATATTTTACTTATTTCATGTTAATAAAAAATGTTTTAATTTTCACAGCTAAGACCTTTAGAATTGGTAGATAAAAATAATGGCTTCTTCTGTTTCAAACAGCTTTGAACATACATAGCTTAAGAAGAAATAGAAGGCATACTTAGTCCGGGACACCCTCTAATGAAACAATGATTTTTGTTATAAATTGCAATTTTGTTAAAATTTATAATCAAAACAAATTTATTTAATTCACAGTTAACAAAACAACACGAAATAAGTGGCTAATTTATAGTTTTAAACACATGTTGTGTCTTATGACTTTCAAATAGTGATTTTTTCAATAAATAATTTTCCTTTATTAAAGACATTATTATGTTTCTGTTGCATTCTTTAACAGACCTTAAAATATCGACGCCTTTAAAAAAATATTTGCCTATTGACTAACTTGCTTCTGATTTCTTTAAAAATTTAATTGATTAAAAAATTACTGGAAAATTAAGAAAAGTATTACGAATAACATTTAATATTTTTCAGACTAAAATTTATATTAAATTAATATTAGGAATTCAAGCGACCTCTTCCAATTGCCAAATGTATCTTTTAAAAAAACATTTTTCTGTCGAGGTTTTTGAGTTGATTTGAGTATTAGAAGTATAAACCGCGCATAAACTAAAATCAACTGTTATATATCGTGCTAAAATCTCAAATTGTTCAGTTATTGGGTTATTGGTTATGTTATCTAACCTTTTTTTTCCTTTAATTGACTATTCTCACGCGTACCTTTGGTCAAAATTAGTTTTAAATAATATTTTTTTTAAGTCAAACAAATTTGCCAAAACGTTAAAACTATTCTGTATCTTATTTATCTGGTTTAATGTGCTCGTAGATTTGCAACTTTTTGTAGAAAATGCCCCAAGTAGCATTTTGGCGACTATAACCACATAATACACCAAAATTAACATTGTTTAACCAACCTGGAAAAACCTACGGAGATAGCATTATTGGGGCAAGTTACAGTAGATAGTACGCTGAGTACAAGACAATTGACCACTTCGACAAGTGTGTCTCATAAAAGCAAAGAATACCTACCCAAGAAGCGAAACTAAATGGGCGATTCGTGGACAAAAAACTGCAAAGTTTTCTCAGTGTTTTATAGGTGGTTTAACGTCAAATATAGCTGTGATTTATGTAGAGCAACGTTTGGTATATTATTATTAGCGTTTTGTGAAAATTACAGTACTCTTTAAGTAGTTGTATTTAACTAAGCAGTAATTAGACAGTTTTAAAATTTGTATTACATGAAAACAAAAAAAATACATTGCTATATTCGTAAATTTTATTGAACGTTTTTGCATCTGGCTGTCAATGTTTTTTTTTTTTAATTTCTAAATCAGTATTACCTATAATGACAATTTTTATTTAAATATGTTATTTTTTTGTTTTTCAAACCATTGGAATTAAAACAGTAAATAAACAATAATACAAAACAATAATTAAAATATATGAGTAACTCACTTCGAGGAACCAAGTCGCTGCTATCAGAATACAATCGAAATGCATTTACAGCTACCTACAGTACTTCTAGATATGTAACGTGTAAAGGGTGCTATACCCCACGGCACTTACGCCTCACTAGGCCCATTGTGTATCCTTCTAAAATGATAGGCATCTCGTAGCTCGTAAGCCAGCCTACAGATTTAATGTAGTTGACAACGTCGCCAAAAGGTGCTTCTCTTATATTGGCCGGTGCTAGCCAATACTCGCCGAAAACAAATATTTTAATAAATGAGAGCGACTGACAATCGTAGAGGATATGTTCAATGCAATGATCTCACCCTGCAGGGTGCGGATTCTGACAGCCCCATTATGTGGAGATGCTTCCGTACTTGGCAATGACCAGTCAGAATGCCTGTGATCAGACGCAGATTTTGTCTAGTCGTAGTCAAGTATTTGTTTAATGTAGTGTTTTCAGGATAACTTAAAAGCTCCCTGGTAATTCAGCAGTTTCTTGTTTCATCCCATCTTTCCTTCAATTTCACAAGGGAATATTCTTTAATTAGGTCTGTCACTACCGATGTTGTCAGTCCAATAGAAGGGTCAGGTCCAAAAAGGATTTGTTTGGCCGCCTTCTTGGATGGTAAATCAGCAATAAGGCTACCTTTCGATGTGGCATCTTAAGGTGACCACTTTGTTGGATGGATACTCTTGCCAAATCTTCGTGGCATTTTAGTACTAACCCTGAGTAAATTCGTAGTCTGTTCAGGGCAAGTAGTGTTCATCTGCTATCTGTATAGATAAGCATGTTCCTACCAGTGATATTGTTTCTGATGATTTTTTTGCTGCTATGAGAATCTCCATGAGCTCCATGAACTACATTAGTACTATTGCTTTATGTTGAGGTTTAAGTAATTGGAGTATATTCCACATTCTGAGCATTGTTGTTTTAGAACCGTCGGTGTAGACATAAATTGTACCTGCCACTTCCGGCTCTTCTATTTGTTTTGTTATAACTTCATATGGCTTATGTAATATATATCGCGGAGAGATGAAGTTCATGTTCGCCTGAAGCAGTGGGAGCGTATCGAGCGTCTTTTGCCAAAAGCGACGTCTCGCCTAACCAGATCATACATCAAGTTCTATTCCAACCGTGCAGAAGAGTGTCATTGTCATTAGAGCCACTTCTTTGATGTAAATATTAAGGGGAGTGAGACTAAGAACGACTTCCATGTCTCTGGTTGGTGTGGTTTTCATGGCTCCTGTTATATTGAGACACGCTGTTGTTTGAATTTGTTCTATTGTATTCTAGGTGACCTTAGCCTGGGTTCCAGGCCATGAGGGATATCAGGGCAACGAAAAGGCCGACGAATTAGCCCGAGAAGGCTCAGATAAGGCCATGACAGGCCCTGAACCCTTTTGTGGAGTCGCTAAGGCATTGTGCAAGGTATCCATTAAACAATGGATGCAAAAAGAGTCTCAGGAATGGTGGAACAACTATCCAAGACTGAGACAGGCCAAACAGTTCATCAAGGAACCATCGGCCAAGTTTACAAAAGACCTACTGGATCAAAAACGTCAAATCGTTAGGATAACAGTAGGCCTTCTTACTGGACACTGTCGCCTCAAAAGGCACATGAGTGTCATAAATCCAGCAGAAGAAGCAACTTTGTGCAGGTTCTGTGAAGAAGAAGAGGAAACATCATTCCACGTCCTGTGCCAATGTGAAGGCTTGGCTGGAATGAGGTTTCTAACATTGGGCGCAGAAAAGCCAATTGCATGCAACTACATGCGGGAGCCACTGTCAAAGCTACTAAGTCTAATAAAAAAGACCAGGCTAGACGACATACTCTAAAACAAACGGAGTCCCACAATAGATCTGAAAAGGTCGCGGTGGACAAGGACAAATAACGTCCAACTCCTAATCTAATCTAATCTAATTGTATTCTATATTGCGGATAGCTGTTAATTTTTGGATTTTCGGTACCCAGACAACTGCAACGTATGTTAGCATAGGTCTTATGATAGCCATGTAAGTCAATGTGACAACTGTGGGGGAGAAACCGCAGGTGCGCCTCACGGTTCAGTGGAATTGTTTATAAGTAATGTATGCTCTTTTGAAGTGTGAATTCCATGTTAACTTGTTATCAAAGGTGCTCCCAGGTACTTCACCTTTGTTGAAAAGTTTTGTTTCGTATTTAGG